ACATTGCTCCTTTGTGTGAGTTAGCAGTTAACATGGAAGTAGGCATTAGCCACTAAGTTCACTGGAGTTTATGTTTTCTTAGGAGAAAGAACAAAATGAGAAAATTTTGTTTCCTATGGCAGTTTAAATATTTGTTTTTAAGGTATGTTATTTGTCCCTAGAAAATCTTTTTGTCTTCTCATTTATCAATGAGTGTACATTTCACAATTATTTGGCTTTTTCAGCTTGAAAGGTTCTGCGATTATGTCATAGAATTTCTACTCTGTGACTTAGGATACAGCACCTTGTCTATTTTGAATTGAACTAGTACAGTGAACATCTGCTGTGTATCAAAATGTGAAAAATATCTTTGAACTGATTGATGCAGACATGTTGGAAACAATTTTCTTATATGTTCTTAAAACTTACATATAAAAAGTCTCCTTATTTTTGACCTGGCATTTTCTGTAACATCAGATAATTTCTAGGCTTTTAACATTGCCTCATTTCTTATTATCCACTGTACTGTTTCTTTCTGTGTTGGCTTCTAATCTTAAGAACGTGGAGAATAACGATTTTCTCTAGTCAGAGGAAGAGCTAGTGGTCCCTGATGTCCAGACCTTTTAGTTCATAACTGTGTCAACTTCATGCTATAAAATGTATCTTGCTTATTTGGGCAGATAAATTTTGGTCAAGGAGTTTGTCTGCAGTTAATTCAAGTCATGGTCATGCTTTCCCTGCTCTTATCTCTCTCAAACTTGCCACTGAGAAAATATTCCCTTTGGGAGACAGAGTTTTTTAGAATGTTATTTACTGCTTTGGGGAGGTTGATTAACTGAACAACCAGAAAAACTTCAAATATTGGAAGAGTATAATACAATTCAGCCTATGTATTGTTTTTCCCTGGCTGTTTTAAATTTTGGATTTGTTATTTCAGAAGTCCCCTTACACTGTTGTTAAGGAAGTTATAGATATTTTATGTTAAGTTCCCTTGGTGTGCTGTAATAAATTAAATATTATTTTTTGTGTTAGTTTCTTATCACTGCTGCAACATGATACCACAAACTTAGTGTATTAAAGCAGCCTAACCGCTTTATTAATTTACAGCTGCAGAAGTCAAAAGTTGAAAATGAGACTTAGGGGATTAATATCAAGGTATTGTCAGGACAGGTTCCTACAGGAGGTGCTAGGGAAGAATTTGTTTTTGTCGTTTCCATCTTTTAGAGGCTACCTTGCTCCTTGGCTTGTAACCCTCAAGCATTGATTGTGTTTGATCTGTAGATCAGTTTGGGGAGTATTGTCATATCTTTTCAATCTTGAGACAAACACCAGTAACCGTTTTTTACTAGACATTCCTTTATGGCTTCCTGAAGTATCAAAAGTATCAAATGTTTATATTTCTATAGTATTAAACTAACTCTCTCTCTCTCTCTCTCTCTCTCTCTCTCTCTCTCTCTCTCTCTCGTTTCTCTCTCTCTCTCTTTTTGGCAAGAATTGAGCCTACTACTGGTCTTTTAATGTTTTTGCCTTGGTCCAATCAATTGAAGTCTTAATTGGCAGCCAAAAGCAGAGGTATTGCCCTACTTGAGAGTCTGCTCACCAGCTCAGCTGGGAATGGATTGGAGACTCTCCCAGCTGATTTTTTTTTTCAAACTTGTTTGAAGATTTTTGTTTTGTTTTGTTTTTCTTGGAGTTTCCAGTGGAGATGCCAAGCTGGCAGCAAATGAAGTATACTATAATGTGAAGCCTTATAAATATAGGTTGGATCATGTCCACAATTATCAAAAACGCTGGTACAGAAATGTGCAAAAGGAAGATTTTGAAATTATAGTTTGCCTGCACATGAAAATGTTAACTTGTAAAGTTGAAGGGATACCAAATTGTAGCTCATTAGTCTGATACTTTTTTGCTCTGTTTGAAATAATCATGTACTTCAGAACATCCTTTAATCTGAGTTCCCTTGTGGTTATGTAAGAATGCAACTTTTTTTTATCCTTTAAATTCTCAGAAAATATACTAGATTTTATAAATAAAGCAGAGCTAAAAAGCAGATTTTCTTCCCACCTTTTTTATCTTTATGGAGGCCCAGCTTTAAGGCATTTGAGTAATGCGTTTGTACTTGGCCCCACAGTTAGTTCCACTGGAGGTGGGGGGAACTTCAGAGTCACTTATTTTGTTTCTGCCAAGATGTACTGTTTGGGATCTTAGTCAAAAGGCACACTGTTCTTATGATAGTGAGGAGTTTGTCTTATTTCAAAGCCTCAAGTCTTTGCTGCTTCATCTCTCTGTTGAAGTTAAAATGTATTCTTTTTGAAGGCGGGCATTAAATTTTTACCTAAGACACATCTAATTTATAAAAGAAATTCCTAAATATCAGTAGAACTCAGTGTATTTCATGGTTTCCTAGGACAAGAATATGGACTAACATTGCGTGAGACTGTCTTTATTTTAACTAGCTTAACTACTGTGATAGGATTGCAGACTAAAAGGACATCTCATACATTTCCCTGTAGTTGCTATTTAACATAAAACAATATTTACTAATGTTAATTCAGGATAAGAATTATCAATCAAAGACAAGGTACCATAATGTGCTTTAACATTTAAAGATGTTCTCTGATGTGTACTTGATGATGGCTAAATTTTAAGACTTTGATTTATGTGACCATGAGTTGCAAAGAAAATGCACTGAAGTTAAGAATGACAGGTTGTAGAGAAAAATAATTTTCCTATTAAATTAGAAATATGTTTGTTATCACACATAAATTCATAGAACAGCTGACTTTCAAAATGGACAGAATAAAGTTGATATTTCAACCATAGTTCATGTGGTTCTGGAAAAAGTTTTGTTCTGGCCAATTGATGACACATACAACTCAAGGTTTCCTGCTTCTTGGGCAGAAGCAACAGCTCAGGTAAAACTCCTCTGAAGAAAGTGGGATGCTCAGGCTTTCAGGGTGGCCTTCAGAATGATGCTTTGTTTTTCTTGACCATTGTCTGTGTAACAATACTGAGCTGCCAAAAAAAAAAAAAAAAAAGAGTCACTGATATTAAGGCATGGGAATTGAGCAACCTCTTAACACTAAAGAAATCCAGTGAAATATATGGAAAATTTTGGTTCTAGATCATTAAAGGAGACAGCTTAAATAAAGGCTTTTAAAAAATTCCAGAAGTCTGTCTCCCATTATATAAAATGTGAAGCGCAGTAACCGAGAGTCACGTCTGGCTGCAGCATGAGGTGGAATGGCTTCGTTAGCACACGAGGCCTCACACGTCATGGGGCAGCATTAAACCCTGTAGGTCATAGCGATATGGCTGCACCTGTAAAATAGGCTCACAGAGGAAGAGAGCATCTGGTGGAAAACTTGCTTCGAGCAACATAATTGCCATGTTCACTTAGACGGGTGTGTAGATGGAGGTGAAGAGAAAGACACAGATGGCACTTAAAATGAAAAATAGGAGAAAGATACAGGGGATATTCTTTCTCAGTATGAAAAGATCTGCTTATTTCAGTTTAGAAGGGAGAGAAGATTGTGTGTTCTTTGTTATAAAAGGACAGGAGAGTCCTAATGGAATAGAAACTAGGTGACACTTCTCATCAGTCTTTTGGTCATGTTTCAGAAAGCTTTTTAGTTTAGGTGGGAGAAAATGTGATACTCTGATTTTTTTCATTACACACTTGTTCTCATTGGTTATCCTAGAAATTAATGTGTCAGGCCTGAATAACTATAAAGAGCTCGAGTTATCTTTTGCCCAACTCTTAAATGTTAGAGGCGTCTTGGTTTGAAAAACTGTGTCCCTGCGTCGTGAGGTTTATCTCCAGTTTCATTTGGGTGAATGCGATGATCCCATCTCTAGCATTCTTTAGCATTGTACTCAGTGATAAGAATGTATCTTACACATGTGGGAACTTCCCCATTTTTGTCCATCTTCTTTAAGGCCTTTGGAAACTGGGGAAGGCACTCCACTTTAGTAGGCAGCTGCAACGATGGCAGAAGCTGATCACAGGCCAGGATCCTGGTTCGGTGTGTGAACGCAGTGTAACAGTGTGTGTGTGATGCTATAGCATTACTGTGAGGGGAAAGAGGAAGAGGCTTGTAAATATTTTTGCTTAATGCCCAGCACCTAATCAAAATGCAAAATTAGCTATTATTAACTTGTATGCACGTTATAAACTAAAACTTTTATTCTATGACAAGAAACAAAGCTTTTGTTGTTGGTGGTGGTCTCTTTTGAGTACATAGTTTTGGTTCAAGGCTTGCAGAGTTAAGCTGACTCTCAGTTGGGGTGTAGGCAGTTTACTAGAGGCACTGATAATCTCAGGCCACTGTGCTGCATTCCCTAGCATGCAGGGTCACTGCTCAGGGTATGCGTCTTTATCTTGGCACATTGATTTTTTTTTTAAATGTTGAGGTCCAATTCACGTACTGTAGAATTCACCCTTTTGAATGGGTACAATCGATGAATTTATAAAGTATATTCACAAGGCTGTGCAACTGTCACTATTTGATTCTGGAACATTTTCATCATTAAAAAAAAAGAAAGAAAGAAAGAAAGAGAGAGAGAAAACCCGTATCCATTAGCATTCACTCCCTGTTCCTGCCTCCCTTCATCCCCTAGCAACAACTAATCTGCTCTCTTTCTTTATGGATTTACCTGCTCTGAACATTTCACATAAAGGGATTCATACAATGTGTGACCTTTTGGGACTATTTTCTGTCACTTAGCATAATGTTTTCAAGAAAGTTTGAATAATTTCCCATTGTATGGATATGCCACGTTTTGTTTTCATCCATAGGTATAGACAGTTTTATTAGGATTTCTTTGCAGGGAAATCTTCAGAACACATATTATGCGCCGATACCCTTTTTGTCCTGAGAAAAATGATTCTCATTTTTTAAATGGAGAGTTTTGTAGGATTTAGATCAAAAAAATGAAATCTAAGTTTTATTTCAGAGGGTTAAATATTGTTCTTTTATTCGAGCTTAGTTCTTTTATATTTTAACTCTGAACGTTTCTAGGGAAAAAGAAGAGCAGCTAACTCGTGTGACTGAAGTTCAAAGGTTGCAGGCCCAGCAGGCAGATGCTGCTTTGGAAGAGTTTAAGCGGCAGGTGGAACTGAACTCAGAGAAAGTCTACGCTGAAATGAAAGAGCAGGTAAGGGCACAACCACCTCATCTTTTTGGAAAGTGGTTCTCTCAGTAGGAAGGTACAGCCTCATCTTAAATTTGACAGAAACATTTCACCTTTAAAAAAAGCATTATCAAAATTAGCCATGGAGTTGGGTCAGAGAGTCAGAACGAGAAAGGACGTTACCGCCCAATTGATCCTGAAAGCAAAGATGGTACAATCATGTAGAAGTTGCAGCTGCAAATGGAGGAATGAGGAGAATGTAGCTTGTCCCGGAATCGGTTTCTGTAGAGCAGGTGCTCAAGTGAACCATCCCTGGTCTTTTTCATATTTTATAAATAACATTTTATTTATTAGTCATAACAAATTACTTTCAATTGGCATTTTAGAGTAGCAAAATTTTCTCTAAATCTTATGCAGGTAGAAATTTTTTTTACATTTTTTGAGGAAAATAAAAGATTTGCAGAAGTATAAAGGGAATTTTTGTGAACAGCTAAGCACTCATTGCGAAGAATCAGCATTTGTTTATATAAATTAAAGCATCACAGGTGAGGTTTTAATTCAGTTTGTTATTCATGGCTGAGTATGTTATTATTACTCTGCTCCTTCTCTGAGAAAAGTACTATAATTAATTTTGTGTGTGTTATTTTAACCCACTTTATACTTCTATGTGTGTATATAATGTTTATGAATATTATGTGCACATACATTTTAGCTATCCATATGTACTATGTTATAGGCATGCATACTTATTTTTTCTGTTTTTTAAAATTAGATAAATATTGGTTTTATGTACTTTTTGCTCCTCTATTTTTAGTATTGGGAATCCATGCTGTAGCCCTGTCAATTTAAAGCTAACTCTATTGTACCATGTGAATGTGTTGTATTTTATTTGTCATTCCTCTATTCAAATATATTTAACTTATTTTCAATCCCAGTTAAAAAAAATGTTGCATTATTTTCCTGACTTTCTCTTTAGCTGTAGTTGTCTTCCTCGGGAGTTCCAAGCGCACAGACGATGGGAACGTCCCAGAGGAAGGTTTCCTACCTAAGTCTGAGTCTGTAGGGTTTGCGACTTGAACCTGGGATTGTTTCCGCTCCTGCTTTCTCCCTTTGTGTTTCTACTCCTAGTGCTTTATGTGGGTCGGTCTGATCCCGTTCTTTCTGTCTCCCATCTGCCTGAGCCAGACTGTAGATTCCTACTGAGAGTTTGTACTGGGAAGCAGAGATTTCCTGTCCGTTCAGCGTGGCTCTGCACCTCCTTCCTGCTCCGTTTTAATCAGTGCCAAAGCTCCAGGATGTGTGTCTCATCCAGATACTCCACAGAGCTCCATGGGAGACTTGCTGAGAGGCTTACAACTAAAGGAGTGGATAAAATATTGAAGAAGAAAGTCCCAGACAAGCTCTTTTAAGCACACAGTAAAGAATATCAAGCCAAGAATCAGGTTTTCAAAAGTGCTAAGACTAAGCAGCATGGCATCTGAGAAGAGCCGCGTATCACACTCAGCTTTGACACAATAAATGCACTCCTTGAAGCTAATGATGTACTATGAAAATATTCTAAACTCAGTGGATAAGGAGAGAGATAACACACAAATAACAGGATACCTGTGTAAACATTTTGTAGAACAAGGAAGTCTCGATTTTACACTCACAGGATAAAAGTATACTTCTGAAAATAACCTGTGGAATTCAGAAAAAAACATTGTAGAACAGAAGTGCCTTTGCAAGAGTCCATATATCAAATAAAAGTAGTTAATGAAATATAAATATCATCTGGAAAAAGAATTGGACCTTGAGGATAAAAATCAATTTCCTGCAAGTTTCTAGTTTGAATGATACTGGCAGAGAAAGTAGCAGAGCAATTTTTGAAGGAAAAAAGTTGTGACTCAGTTCGGTTCCAAGCAGTTTTTTTCTCAGGAGTCTTCTGTCCAGCAGACCTGAGACCACCAAGGGGTGAGGCAACAGTGGTCTTCTGCAGAAGAAACACTGAAGACAAATCGGTGGTGACGAATGTCCGTTTATTTGAAAGAAGCCACAAGCTTATATAGAGTTGGAAAATGGGACAGGTATAAGGGCGGTCTCAACATTACTTCTACCCAATAATAACATTGTGACTGGCTAATAGATCTGTCTATCTCTCTGGACCCTCCAATGAAATTAAAGGTCAGGAAATACAGGAAACTGTCTCAGCACACACTTCTTACCTGCTGAAAAACAGAATCAATGTAACATTTAACTTCCTGGAGTTGTTTACGAAGTAAGTCCTAGCACAGTTCAAACAAGAGCAGGGAAGAGAGACTGGGGTGAAGCCCATTGCCTTGTTATATGCCTAGTGAACAGGCCATGTTGGGGTCTTAGTTAGCCAAGCACACAGTGTGCCATATGCCTTTGGCCTTGTATATACGCTAGGCAGGCTGAGATCTAAGGGTGATCTCTGACAGTTTTTAACTTGCAAAATCATCAGAAATGTATTTCCTTATGTAGGAGACCTCATACAATGTATAGAGCACTTATTTGTTTTGAGGGGAAAAAAGTATGGTAACACATCAGCCAATCCAGAGGTGAATCACATGACTTCCTGCCTGTTGGGAAGTGATCCATTAAACCAGCAGAGGTGGAGAACACTAGAATCTGGCAAGGCTGACAGAAATATGAATAGCTGTTACCCATGTCGTTATGAAGCAGAATGGCATTGGTGATTAATCTGTAAAAACACAGATTTACAAAGTATTAAATTCAAATTTACTGATAACTTGAATTTAAATCCCTGTATTATATCGACAGTGATTAAAACATTGGTAGGTAGTGAAAGAGTTGGAGGAGCAAAAAATGCTGAAGCTGTCTGTCATGATTGTGTGAAACCCGTAAGATTCCTAAAATGGGAAATAATATTAAAATACTTTTCAAGTGTTTGAACATAAGCATTATCCTTATAAAATCTTCAGAACATAAAGGGAAGATTAGAGAGATGATGTTGCCTAAGAGGAAGAGGGGACATAAACGCAGTGTATTTTTTTTAATTCTTTTTATCATTATAACTTTATGATACAGTTCTGAATTTCCCTATCTCCTTCCCAGTTTCCTCCTCCCTCACTGAGTTCCCCTATATTACTAGACTATACTATAGTTCTTCATAAACAGTCATATGTCCATTATTGTGGGCATGGACATATGACAGAATCCAGTATCCTATTGTTAAGATAGAGTTAACAGTTTCATTGGGAGTCCATCTTTGGTCTGGAAGTAAAGATGCATACTGCATTGTATCCTCGCATCTGGATGTGATAGTCTCCATTACACAGTTACTATACATCCCCTTAAATGAGAAGCCACAATATAAAATCAACAACAGTAAGAAAAATAGAAATGTACAATGTCATGAAGCTAAATAACATGTTACTAGATATGATGGTCTCCATTACACAGTCACTGTACATCCCCTTAAATGAGAAGCCACAATATAATATCAACAAAAGGAAGAACAAAAGAAATTAACAACACCATGAAGTTAAATAACATGCTACTGAATGACTAATTGTCACTGAAGAAATGAAAAAGTCAAGAAAAGTCATTTTCTTCTTGAAGAAAATGATGTTACTGTATGATCTATGAGTCATTGAAGAATTTAATCAGAAGAAAGTGTTTTGGAGAGATGAAACAACAAAAAAGTCAAAATCCACGAGATATAGTTTCTGCTGATCTTTGTTGGTGAAATATGTCTCCTGAAGGCAACAAATAGATAGGTTTTGTTTTTTTAATCCAGTCTACTAATCTATGATGTTTGATAGATAAGTTTAAGCCATTTACATTCAGGGTTAATATGAATGGGTGGTATTTTGGTCTTGTCATTTTAGCAATGGGTTGTTCATTGCTTTAGTCTTCTGTTGTTATTTTACTGGGATGTTCTTCACATTTGCCTTTGGTTTTGGTGGGTGCTACTCCTTTTCTCTGTCAAGAGAATATCTTTAAGTGTCAGTTATAGGGCAGGTTTGGAAGAGGCATATTCTTTTAACTTTTCTTTACTGGGGAAGAAATTTATTTCATTTTTAAATACAAAGGAAAGTTTTTCTGGGTACATTATCTTGGGCCGACAATTTTTTTACTTTTAGAATCTGGAATATGTTACTCCATTCCCGTTTAGACTGCAGTGTTTCCTATAAGAGGTATCCTGTGAATTTAATCGGCATTCCTTTATATGTCAGTTGACTTTTTGCACGTGCGCATTTAAGGATCTTTTCCTTATGTTCGATCGAAGAGAGCTTGATTTCATGTGTCGTGGTGAAGATTGCTTTTGGTCAACCCTGTTGGGTTCTGTACCTCTCCTGGATGTTGTTTCCCAATTCTTTATCTAGATGAGGGAAATTTTCCTTTATTATTTCATTGAATCCACCTTTAATCCCAGTTTCTCTTTCTGCACCTTCTAGAACTCCCATAACTCTTATATTAGGCCTTTAATAGTGTCTTTCAATTCTTGAATACTTTTTTTAGTCTGATCCAGCTGTGTTCCAACTTTTTGTTTGTTTCTTCCTGGTGAAATCTAATTCTGAAATTCTTTCCTCTGCCTCCTTCATTCTATTTTGGAGACTCTCCACTGCACTTTTAATTTGTTCTACTGTATTCTTCATTTCTGATATATCAACTTTCCTTTAATTCACTGCTGTTATTTGCTGTGTATCAGATTCCTTAAATTCCTTGAATGCCTGCTTTATGTACTTCTCATTGCTGATAAGAAGCTTTATAACAAGGGTTTTAAATTCTGTATCCCTCATTTTCTCAAGGTCTTCCTCTGTTAACACTGAGGTTGGCAAAGGATTTTGCTCCTTTGCTGGGATGTCTTCAGTAATATTCATTGTGCCTCTGTCTCTTCTTTTGCTCTTGATCATTGTACTTCTGGTTATCAGATTCTTCTCTTTGGGGCAGGTTTCTAAGCTGTGTCACCCACAGGTCTACAGTTCAGTTTTAGTTACTGTGGTTAGTACACGACTCTTTGCTTGCAGTCACTTGTGCCACTCCCTCCAGCGAGT